GAAACGTCAGCCTCTCTGCTCCTATGATGCTGCTTGGCCTGCTGTGTTCATCCAGCCCTGCACCTTGTTGTCTTTGATTCTTAAACAGTTTTTTTTATCCATTTGCAAGCTATATCGGACTGCATGCTTGATGAGTTTGTCAAATAATAAGGATGGCAGATGGCATAATGGTAATGTCACTGGACTGGTAGTCCAGATGTCCAGGTGGCGGAATTTAAGTTTTCTTAATAAATGTTAAATACATAATGGTGATCGTGATAACTATCATTGTAAAAACCCAGCAGAGCATGGCGGAATCAAGTCAAATTTCCTGTCCTCTTTTCAAGTCCATTTGTAATAGTGAATCAGACTAAAAATGGTACTCATCTTGATTCACCTGGATTTTTGATAGGATCTACCTTATTAATTGCTAAAAAATGGAAGTCTTTTGTTTTCGATCAAATGAACACCACCACTGTCAAAGATACCATTTTGTGACTCTCTGTCAATTTGTAAAGCTGAAAGAGAAAAGTTTTATCGAAGGAGGTGACCAAAGGGACTGAAGAAGCTTGGTACATCTTGACAAAGAATTCATGGGAGAGATGGGGAATCTTTTTGGAAGACAGGGAAAAGCTTGGGGATCTAGAAAAGCAAAGGGAGAGCTGTGCGTGGAGAGATTCGGGTGTTTAGTTATGCTTGTTCTATGTTCGCAGATTCCATCAACAAGGAAGCCCAGTCCAGACTGGAATGCCACTGTCAAAAATGATATGGTACCAGGTGACATAATGAGTAGAGTTGTGCAGAGGGAGAGCAGTGCAGGAAATGATACTAGGTAGAATTGTATAGAAATAATCATTTATATTTTTCTACTGGCTGGAACAATTAGTTCAGTTTTGAATCTTTCAGTCCTCAATGCAGCTTTCAGACGTACTTTAGTTAATGACCCGTCACTCCTCATACCCCCTCCCACCTGTGGCCCGACCAGAGGCAATTCTGATTCTGTTCTCCTGTGTTGTTTATCGTAGTATGCCAGAACTAAGCCGCACTGGAATCCGGGACAGGAAAGCTGGTCAGCAAACATCAAGGTAATGCAAACAAAGTTGCCATCTTGCCACCTTGAAGAAGAAATTGCTTTACTCTATCTGTACTGAATTACAACATCATAGGAACACAAGGAGGCCATTCATCCCTTCAAGCCTTTTTCAGCATTCATGGCTGATCTTTATCTGAAGTCCATTAACCTGCTGTAGTTCTGTACTCGTTAATCTCTTTCTGAGCAGCAATTTATCAATTGCAGTTTGGAGATTTTCAATTCAGCCTCAACATGGAAGTGAGTTCCAGGTCCCAACTGCCTTTTGAGTGAAGTGCTTTGTGACATCACCACTGAGTGGGACTGGGGAGGGGATGTCTGTGGGAACAGAGGGAATGGGGAGAAGGAGATGGAGAGAGGGTGTGCGTGGGAACAGAGGGGAGGGGAGATGGGGAAGGGTTGTGTGTGAGAACGTGCGGAAAGGGGGTTGGGAGGACAAAGAGAGGAAGGAAGGGGTATTCTCTGTTGTGGAACAACCGCTGACAGCATTCTTGAAGGATTTGTAGTCCTTATGAAAATGTCTGGGAAGTCAGTAAATTAAGAATTTCTTACAGCAAAATTTCATGATTGTGCAGAAAAGGAAGCTCCTATCACGCCACAGCAAAGTGCATTGCCTTGATGTCTCTTGAAAACCATCTGAAATGCTGTCTATGTAAAAGGGCAGTGCCAGTCAGTGGCAGAGACTATTGTGTCATATTCCGGAGCTTAGCTGAAAGAAAAAGGTTTTATTGAAGGAGGTGACCAAAGGGTTCAAAGAAGCTTGGTAGAAAAACAAAGAACAAAGAAAATTGCAGCACAGGAACAGTCCCTTTGGCCCGCTAAACCTGCACTCACATGCTGCCCATGACAACTAAAACCTCCTACCCTTTCTCAAAAAATACATCTTGACAAAGAATTGGTGGGAGAGATGGAAAATCTTTTTGGAAGACAGGAAAGATTTGGGGATCTAGAAAAGCAAAAGGCAGAGCTGAGGATGGTGAGATTGAGATGTTTACTTATGCTTGTTCTATGTTCACAGATCCCACCAACAAGGAAGCCCAGTCAAGACTGGAATGCCACCGTCTAGTCGGAGGAGTAGACAGCTTCCGCAGGTTCCAGTTAAAAGCTACGGCCTAGAACAAGGTAGTAACATTGTCTGTACCATTGCTGTTTATCTGTGATCTAGTAATGAAATTTATCTTTAGCACCATCAGAAAGGAGCATGTGGATTCTATTTCATTTATCAAAAATCCAGGAAATATCACCAATTTACTCGGTCCCTCATAACAGCATAACTCCCACACCCCAGCACCAATCCAGTGAAACATCTCTGTATTGGCTTTATTACCTTTCCTCAATACAGGGCCATACTTGTGCCTAATCTTCTCTGTGTGCTGTTACCAAAGTGTGGTGCAACTGTAGTAAGGTTTATTAGTTCTTGTACTTCAGTCTTCTCGTGCATGCTATTTGCCTGCCATTGTCGTACAGACTTCCTGAGTTCCTTGAATGAACACACACAGATCACTTGGAACATCAATAGGTTTCAAACCTTTTAGAAAACATTCTTCTGTTCTATTTGCTACAAAAAAAATGGAATGGCTTCACACTTCTCCAGATTATACTCCATTGGCCACCTTGTTGCCCATTTACTTAACCTGTCGATATCTCTTTATGTCCTCTTTACATGGCCTTCAAAGCTTACATTTCCACCTAGCTTTTGTATCATTGAGAAATTACTCTCTTGTATTTTGTCTAAGCTATTCCATCTACTGGTTTCCTTTTATCTGTCTTACTAATTACAGTGTCAAAAAAATATACCTGTCTTAAATCGTAGAGCTAAATTTGCCAGTTTACAATTCACTAGGACCATTTTAGAAAAAGGGAATTTTGGAAAATCATAACCAGTATACCTTATGTATCTGCAGCTGCCATTTTATAATCCTAGGATGTAGGCCATCAGGTCTAGGCATTTGCCAGTTCCTTTAGTTGCTGTTATAGATAACACAATGTGGTGCTAGAGGAGCACAGCATGCCAGGCAGCATAAGAGGAGCAGGAAAGTTGACATTTCAGGTCAGGACCCTTCTTCAGAAATGGGGGAGGGGGAAGGGAGCTCTGAAATAAATAGAGAGAGGGGGGTGGGGCTGGGGAAGATAGGTGGGATGGTGATAGGTGAGTGCAGGTAGGCAGTGATGGGGATTGGTCAGTGAGGTGGGAGGGGCGTATAGGTGGGAGAGAAGATGGAGAGGTTGTGTCAGGTCAAGGAGACGGGGAGGGTTGGTCAAGGGATGAGGCCGAAGGTGGGGAGGTTTTGAAATTGATAAAGTCCACATTGAGACCATTGGGTTGTAGGCTCCCAAGGCGGAATATGAGGTGCTGCTCCTCCAGTTTTCCGACGGTGTCATTGTGACACCGGAGGAGGCCCTGGATGGACATGTCGCCTATGTTGAAATGGGTTTGCGACTGGAAGCTGTTGTCATTTGTCTTGAACAGAGCGCAGGTACTCTACAGAGCGGTCTCCAAGCCTCCGCTTGGTCTCACCCATGTAGAGGAGGCCACATCAGGAGCAGCGATGCAGTAGACCACATTAGTGGATGTGCAGGTGAACCTCTGTCTGATGTGAAATGTTTTTTTGGTTCTTGGATGGAGGTGAGGGGGGACGTGTAGGGGCAGGTGTAGCACTTCCTGCGGTTGCAGGGAAAGGTGCCGGGGGTGGTGGGGCTAGTGGGGAGTGTGGAGCAGACGAGGGAGTTGTGGAGAGCAGTCCCTATGGAAGGCAGATAGGAGTGGGGAGGGAAATATATCTTTGATTGTGGGGTCAGATTGCAGGTGGCGGAAGTGGCGGAGAATGATACGTTGAATCCGGAGGTTAGTGGGGTGATACATGAGGACAATGGGGATTCTATCTTTGTTTTTGTTGCAGGGAGGGGGATGTGAGGGCAGAGGTGTGGGAAACGCGAGAGATGCAATCGAGAGCATTTTCGACCACTGAAGGGGGGATGTTGCAGTCCTTGAAATAAGAGGATATCTAGGATGTTTGGGAGTGGAACGCCCCATCTTGGGAGCAGATGCGGCAGAGGCAGAGGAATTGGGAGTAGGGGATTGCATTCTTGCAGGAAGGTGGGTAAGAGCAAGTGTAGTCCAGATAACTGTGAGAGTTGGTGGGCTTAAAATAGATATCGGTTTTGAGGTGGTTACCAGAGATGGAGTCAGAGAGGTCCAGGAAAGAGAGAGAGGTGTCAGAGGTGGTCCAGGTGAACTTGAAGTTGGGGTGAAAGGTGTTAGTAAAGTTGATAAACTGTTCAAGCTCTTCATAGGATCATGAGGCAGTGCTGATACAGTCATCGATGTAGCGGAGGAAGAGGTAGGCGATAGTGCCAGTGTAGCTGCAGAAGAGGGACTGTTCCACGTATCCTACAAAGAGGCAGGCATAGTTTGGGCCCCTGTGGGTCCCCCTGGCCACCCCCTTAGTCTGCAGAAAATGGGAGGAGGTGAAGGAGAAGTTGTTAAGGATAAGGACGAGTTTGGTTAAGCGGATGAGGGTGTCGGTGGAGGGGGACCGGTTGGGCCTGCCGGAGAGGAAGAAGCGGAGGACTTTTAGGCCATCCACGTGGGGAATGCAAGTGTACAGGGATTGGATAGTCATAGTGAACATGAGGTGTTGGGGGCCAGGGAATTGGAAGTCTTGGAGGAGGTGGAGGGCGTGAGTGGTGTCCCGGACCAGGGGGGAGAAAACAGAGTCATGGTAAACGGAGATAAGTTCAGTGGGGCAGGAGCAGGCAGAGACAATGAGTCGGCCGGGGCAGTCGGATTGTGGATTTTGGGAAGGAGATAGAAACGGGCGGTGCGGGTGGTTGGGGAACAATGCGGTTGGAGGCTGTGGGCAGGAGGTCACCTGAGGTGATGAGGTTATGGATGGTCTGGGAGATGATGTTTTGGTGGTCAGGGGTGGGGTCATGATCAAGGGAGAGGTAAGAGGAGGTGTCAGAGAGTTGGCACCTGGCCTCGGCTATGTAAAGGTCAGTGCGCCATACCACTAGTGTGCCTCCCTTATCCGCAGGTTTGATGGTGAGGTTAGGGTTGGAGCGGCGGGCTGCACGTTCTGTGGGGAACAGGTTGGAGTGAGTGAGAGGGGTGGTGTGGTTGAGGCGATCGACGTTGCGACGGCAGTTAGAACTGAAGACGTTGAGGGAGGGTGGGAGGCCTTGGGGTGTTGTCCAGGAGGATGGGGTGTGTTGGAGGCGGGAGAAGGGGTTAGCCTCCTTCAATTGCTTGTAATACTTTTCACTGATAATTTTCTCAGCTTCTCTGAAGCAGGCCATATCCAACTGCAGCAAGGCCTGGACAACATCCAGGCTTGGGCTAACAAGTACCAAGTAACATTCGTGCCACATAAATGCCAGGCAATGCCCATCTGGAGAAGCCATATAAATACTGTGGTTGCAGGGACAAAATAGGAGCTAGGAATCCTGCAGCAAGTAACTCACATCCAGACTCCTCAAAGACTGTTCACTGTCTGCAAGGCACAAGTCACGTGTGTAGTGGAATACTCCCCACTTGCCTGGATGAGTGCAAGTCTAACAACACTCAAGAAGCTTGATACCATCCAGGACAAAGCATTCCACTGTAGAAATTCATGAATTCTGCTTAAACAACACCTTCTAGACCTGCTAGAAGGACAAGGTTGATAAGATGTTGAAAAGTTTGTTTTATTACCTGGAGTTATAGATGAAGAAATTGACTTTAAAAGCCGCAATCCTACTGAAAGTTTATAACTCACTATTTAAGAATATTATGAACAACTCTGGCCCTACATTTCAAGAATAAAAGGTCTTTAGAAAGGAAATGGTAGAGATTTAGCAGAATGTGGGGTAAAGGAGGCGGAGTTATAAGGAGAGGAAGAAAAGTTTGCATTGTTCTCCTCAGAACAGAAAAGATCAAGAGATTTTCAAGATGACGATTGAGTAGAATAGATCAGTTTTGATTTAGTAGAAAAACTATTTTTTAATTTGTTCATTTTGTGGGATGTGGGCATTGCTAGCTGGCGAGCATTTATTGCCTGTCCCTCGTTGACCTTGAGAAGGTGCCTTCTTGAATTGCTTCAGTCCACCTGCTGTTGATCCACAATGCCATTAAGGAGGGAAGTCCAGGATTTTTACCCAGTGACAGTGAAGGAACAGTGTTATATTTCCAATGGTGAGTGATTTGGAGACGAACTTGAAAGTGGTAATGTTCCCATGTCTCTGCTGCCCATGTTCTTCTCGATGGAAGAGTTTGTGGGTTTGGAAGATGCTGTCTGAGGATCTTTGGGTGTAGTGCCAATCAAGCGGGCTGCTTTGTCCTGGATGGTGTCAAGTATCTTGAATTTTTTTTGGGGCTGCAATTAATTGAGTATATACTCCTGACTTGTGCCTTGTAGATGGTGGACAGGTTTTGGGGATTCAGGTGGTGAGTTACCCCCCACAGTATTCCTAGCCTCTGACCTGCTCTTGTAGCTACTATGTTTATGTGGTGAGTCTAGTTGAGTTTCTGATCAAAAATAATCCCCAGGATGTTGATACTGGGGTTTCAGTGGTGGTAGCACCGCTGAACGTCAAAGGGCGGTGGTTAGATTGTCTCTTATTGGTGATGGTCATAGCCTGGCATTTGTGTGGCATGAATGTTACTTGCCACTTGTCAGCCCAAGCCTGGATATTGTCTGTATCTTGTTGCATTTGGACATGGACTGCTTCTTGTCTAAAGAGTTGTGAATGGTGTTGAACATTATGCAATCATCGGCAAACATCCCCGCTACTGACCTTATGATGGAGGGAAGGTCATTGATGAAGCTGCGGAAGATGGTTGGGCCTAGGACACTATCCTGAGGAACTCCTTCAGAGATGGCCTGGAGCTGAGATGACTGACTTCTAACAACCACAGCCATCTTCCATTGTGTCAGGAACTGAGGATAAGAAACTTGCAGGTTTAAAGTGGAGATGTGAGACTCAGCATGTTTGCAATTTCAAAGAAGCACGAATGGCTAAGAGGCCTCCTCTGTACTTTAAATTTCTATAATCCAACAGGAAAATAATTGAGAAAATTTTGTTTTTAGGTAGCCAAAATTTTGTTCCACATAAAATTTCCTTTCGATCATCATGAACATATGTATTACTTACAGGATGCCGAATGGTACAGGAGGAGCGAACAAAGCAGGCAAAGGGGAAAGTGCATCCCAGCAAGCAGTCTGTAGAATCAGTAACCAGTTTTGAACAGGAACGTGATCAATGTACAAAGGTAAGAATGACATATCGCATAGGTTATGTATCAATATCCATCCACTCTCCTTCAACCACTGATTGTCCTTAACTGCATTTAAAGTAGTCATCTCAATGCCCCGATGAAGGCAAATCCTGACCACCCTCTGCATAAAGACATTTCTTCTGATTCTTCATTGGATTTATTTGTGCCAGTTTTACATTGATGACCTTAGTTTTTGTGACTTCCATCAGTGAAAACATTTTATTTAACAAAATCTTCATCAGTTCATCACCACCTTCACAAGGGTAATTAAAAATGGAATAGAGAGTGACTCCCATAGCTCAGCTGCAAGCGAAATTAAAGACACTCCATAGTTTTCTGTTTTGAGAGAGACAAGCCCCACCTTTCTTGAGAGTTTGTATCATCTTTCATTTTTGGTATTAACCCTGTCAGTCTTTTCTGCATTTTCTCTAGTCACGTTGTATTGTTTTTGTTTTACAGAGACCTGTTCACAGGTTTCCAAGTGTGGTCTGATCAAGTCTGTACAAGTTCAATATAATTTTCCTGCTTTTTCGTTCCATTCTTGTAGAAATGAATCCGAGTGCTATCTTTGTTTATTCTCATAGAGTTATACAGCACAGAGACAGATCTTTCGGCCCAACATGTCCGTGCCAACCAGGTTTTCTAAACTGAACTAACCCAATTGCCTGTGTTTGGCCCATATCCCTTCAAACCTTTACAATACATGAACCTGTCAAAATGTCTTTTAAATGTTGTACTTACCTCTACCACTTCCCCTGGCAGCTCGTTCCATATATGCACCACCATCTGTGTGAAAATGTTGCCCCTCAGGTCCCTTTTTAGTTCTGTCCCCTCCCACCTTAAAACTTTGGGCTCTAGTTTTGGACTGCCCTAGCCTTGGGGAAAGTCCTTGGCTATTCACCTTATCTGTGCCTGTTCTGATTTTGTAAACTTCAAAAGGGTCACCTCTCAAGCCTCCTTCGCTCTGGGACAAAAATTCCAGCCTGACCAGCCTCTAATAGAGCCATAGAGTTATAAAGTTATACAGTATGGAAGCAGACCCTTTGGTCTAGTCCAATTTGCCAAGATTTGGCTCACACCCATCTAAACACATCCTATTCATGTACCCATCCAGATGCTTTTTAAATGTTGTAATTGTACCCGCCTCCACCACTTCCCTAGCAGCTCGTTCCAGGCACACACCACCTTCTGCGTGAAAAAGTTGCCTCTCAGGTCCCTTTTAAAACTTTCCCCTCTTACATTAAACCTATGCCCTGTAGTTTTGGACTCCCTTACCTTGGGTAAAAGATGTTGGCTATTCACTCTAATCATGCCCCTCATGATTTTATAGACCTGTATAAGGTCACCGCTCAGCCTCCAATGCTCAAGGGAAAAGAAGTCCCAGCCTATTCAACCTTGCTATAGTTCAAACCCTCTTTTCCAAGCAACAACCAGGTAAATCTTTTCTGAACCCTTTCAAGTCTAACAGCATCCTTCCTATAGCATGGATATCATAATTGAACACAGTATTCTAAAAGTGGCCTAACCAATGTCCTGTACAGCTGAAACATGTCATCCCAACTCCTCAACTCAGTGCACAGACCAATGAAGGCAAGCATGCCAAATGCCTTCTTTGCTACCCTGTGTACCAGTGACTCCACTTTCAAGGAACTGTACACTTGTTCCCATTGATCCCTTTGTTCAGGAACACTCATCAAGGCTCTACCATTAATGGAATCAGTCCTGCTCTGATTTGCTTTGCCAAAATGCAACACCTCATTTACCCAAGTTAACCTCCATCTGCCACTCCTCGGCTCATTGGTCCATCTGCGATAAACTTGTTCATTGTCCACTACACCACCAATTTTGGGGTCATCTACAAACGTACTAACCATACCATATATTCTCATCCAAATCATTTATATAAGTGATGAAAAGCAGTGGACCCAGCGCAAATCCTTGCAACACACCACTGGTCACAGGCCTCCAGTCCAAAAATAAAACCCTCCTCCACCACCCTCTGTCTCTTACCTTCAAGTCAATTTTGTAGCCAGATGGCTAGCTCTCCCTGGATTCTATTTGATCTAAACTTGCTAACCAGTTTGCCATAGAGAAGCTGGTCAAATACCTTGCTGAAGTCGACACAGACAACATTTTCCACTATGCCTTCAATCTTTATCACTTCTTCAAAAACCCAAGCAAGTTAGTGAGACATGATTTCCCATGCGCAAAGCCATGCTGACTCTCTCTAATCAGTTCTTGCCTTTCCAAATGCATGTATATCCTGTCCCTCAAAATATCCCTCCAGCAACTTACCCACCGCAGACGTCACAATCACCGGTCTATACTTCCCTGGCTTTTCCTTACCACCTTTCTTAAATAATGACACCACATTAACCAACCTCCAGTCTTCTGGCACCTCACCTGTCACTATCAGTGATTCAAATATCTCAGCAAGAGGCCCAGCATCCTCTTCCTTAGCTTCCCGCAAAGTTATGGGGTACATTTGATCAGGTCCTGGGGATTTTTCCACCTTATGTTTTAAGATGTCCAGCACCTTCTCTTCTGTAATATGGATACTTTTCAAGATATCACTATTATTTTCGCCAAGTTCTCTAACTTCCATCTCCTTCTCCACAGTAATAACTGATGCAAAATACTCATTTAGTATCTCGCTCATCTCCCGTGGTTCCACACATCAATGTCATTGTTGATCTTTAAGGGGCCTTATTCCCTCCATAGTTACTCTTTTTCCCTTAATGTATTTGTAGAATCTCTTTGGATTCTCCTTAATCCTATTTGCCAAAGATATCTCATGTCCTCTTTTTGCCATCCTGATTTCTCTCTTAAGTATACACCTACTGCCCTTATAGTCCTCGAGAGATTCACTCGATCCCAACTGTGTATACCTGTATTGTCTGGATCAGGGTGTCTCTAAGACCCTGCAGACTCCTCAACCAGTGTGTATAATATTAATTTACCCAGACACCTTAGCATGTATCAGGAAAGGAGTACACAACATGAGTCTGCAGTCAGTGAACCAGGTCGCAACTTTATTTGAAGACAACAAAGGTTGAGAGTTAAACTTTATACTTCTAACAACTCTGTTTCTAACTATCCAATTCTTTAGAAACTTAAAATTCTTTCCAGATACTTGTAACTTTTGTTCTGAAGCTGTCAAAACTTTTTCTGATTTATGTATCTGTGCCTCTAGCTCCTTCCACGTCTCTTCAACTCTTATTTGTTGTACTAAAATCTTGCAGTTAACATAACTGAAATTTGTTTAGCAAATACACAGGTTGAATTTTATTAATATTTATTTTGTGGCAAAGCTACAAATTTCTTGTCCAATTGAAAACCAAATTAAGGAATGAGTGAACAGGCGTCATAGATGAACAATAGAAAATCAACTCAATGAAGAGGTATGGTAGCTGAGACTATACCATAACAATCATTGCTCCACATTGGGTGTGACACATACTGAGCTAAAAGTTGCCTGGGTCACCCAGTCATTTTAGAAATGTTGTTTCCTGGTGCAAAAGATGCAACTGAAATAAGACACCATAGTGAGTGTCGAGGAGATTGATGTATTAAATGGGAATTATTGTTTTAAATAAGGAGTATGGCGGGTGATCAGTCAGCAGTTGCTGATGCAGTGCATGATGGAACAGCTGTTGAGAAAGTTTATCAAGGTCATATCAGTAAACATGAAGAATTGTATCCCCTTATGAAGCATAATGGGATTGATAACCTATTGTGTCATTAATGCCTCTGGGGGAATTGCTCAGAAATCATGGGATTGGTGTTCTCTGGAATGTTCAGTCACAGTTTATAGTCTGCATTGATCACCTGTTTACTCCGAGTAATAAACTAGAGATATTAGTTCCTAGCCAGATCGTAACATAAATTTGGCGCGCAAGTTGTAACAGGATACCATTTGGAAATTAAATTCACAAGAGTCCTGCAACCTCCACTCTCCCAAAAACACCTGCTAATCTAGAACAACCATCCAACAGGCCTTTGGACTTCTGAAGATATAATTCAGATGCCTGTAAAGATCCAGTGATGCCCTTCAGTTTACCTAATGTATGATGGTGTGTGCTCTGGCACTACAGAGAGGGCAAGTTTTGAAAAATGACGATTCCAGAACACGACACCGACCATCACAACAGGATGAAGATCTTCAGAGACTGCAAGCAGGACTCCATTAGATATGTGTAATATATGTTCACGATGCACTATTACAACAAACATTTCAGATGACCCATAATGCTGGTCCCACACAACTCAACTGTTCAGCCTTGTTGCTCTTTCCTGTGTTATCCTTACCATTTACCTGGAGTGATCAGACAGTGACAAGGGAAGTGCACCAGCTTCACTGAATGTGGTCCTTCTGAATCACACCTTTTATGGAAACTAGTGCACTCTTCTGGGCCTAGTATAGTATATGACTATATAGCATGGAAGAGAGCCTTTGGCTCATCAAATCTGTATCAATCTATCTACACTAATCCTACCTTCCCGCACTTGGCCCATAGCCTTGAATGTTATGGCATTGCAAGTACTCATCCATGTACTTTTTTGTGGTTGTGAAGTTTCCTGTTTGTGAAGAATTAAAGAATTTCTCTTGCATTGCATCATTCCCAGATTAATCTCAAACATAAGTGGAAATTAACTTCTTTTGACAAGGAATCAAGCTGAACTTTCCAAAGCAGCTGAACGAATGATCTTTTAGGAATAAATTAGGATGCTCTTCTATGGTGCCCACCCATCCCCCTTTGCTGTTAGCTTAATTGGAGGCAGGCTGTTGATCGTGCTGCCATGGGAGCTTTATACAAGAAAGAAAATAATAACCTCAGTAAGGTAAAAAGTCTGCTAGCTGGTGGCACGGTGACTCAGTGGTTAGCACTGCTGTTTCACAGCACCAGGGACCCGGGTTCGATGCCAGCCTCGGGCGACTGTCTGTGTGGAGCTTGCACGTTCTCCCCGTGTCTACGTGGGTTTCCTCCGAGTGC